CGGAACCTTGGCATCGAAGCAAGTGTCGCACTTGAGGATAGCACGGGCGGAGTACGGGATCGGCACGGGGGAATCACTACCCTACAGCGCCGTCCCCGCGCATTTCCGAGTGGGAAAGGTGGCACGCTGCTGTAGTTGCCACCATTCGTATCGCACATTGCAAGAACCGTCCTTGAAGGCGAGTGATCCAAAGTATAACAATTCAGCCATTTTACCCTCCTGGGCAAGGTTGGTATCTACTGAGGATACTGAAGGAACTGAAACTTGTGACTCGAGCAGGAGTCGTCCCGATATTTGACCTCTGAACTGAACCTTCCGTACTGAACCTACCGTGCCACTTTCCACTAAGGATCACGAAGGGAGGGGAAATGGTGACTATCCCTACCATCGTAAGTCATAGATCCGCAAGAACACGTAAATATCAAGTCCCTTTACGATATGACAGGTGGTACCCATGGGAACAAGGAAACACCCGTCCCTTCCCACTTATCGACATACTTATCACTGTAATCGGATCTCACGTCTACTACCGTATTAAGTCGAAAGGTTCCACCCACTTACAGCCTAGAACGCTGCCGATGAAGGGGCGTGTCAAGGAGGATGGCTTGGCACAGCACCAGCCCGTTTTGTTTTTTTTTCTTTCAGTAAGCGACAAAACTATATCATATAGTTCGTATCAGCCGTTCCCGTTTTTGCCGCTCACCCACGTCAACAATCTGTTGAGAATGGGCTGGCGGTGCGCCAAACCCAGCCTCACTGGCACGCCCCCTCATTCGCGGCGAACAAGACTAGCACTAACAGCCTCGTAACGCATAAAACAAATGAAGCACTGTCGGCAGATTCTATCCAGATAAAATCATTTAATCCTTTCACCCTTTTAAGATAGTTTTTTCTCCAAATCACCCTTAATCCTGAAATAGATGCTTTCCATGTTGTCGTAATCAAGGTAAAAACAATGGTGATATACCTGTAATAATATACCTGTAATACGCTACCGAAGATGAACCATGCCACAGTGGTCGCTCTATCGTCAAGGGATAATCTGGTCCAAGCGCTGCAGTTGACTGAGTTCGACGAAGAGAGATTTGTGATTCGCTTGAGCCTGCGGATCCTGGCCAAAAAGTGATGGAGTCGTCGACCGAGCTTCGCCGATGGAACGAAGCATTCCCACGTCTGAGGCGTGGTAATACTAGCGAATCTTCCTCGTCTAACAAAGTACCAATCGAATCTAAACGGCTCAGACGTCCAGAAAACCGATGGCGATTTGAGGTGCTGAAACAGGTTCTTTTGTATGTACAAAAACGAGGATGAAAGTATCTCGATTTTTTGGATGGATGGAAGTCAAAAGAATAACATGAAAAGACTCGGAGGAGAATGGATCACGTACGTTATAAGATTGCAGTAGCAGAGCTTTAGGTAGGTGGAGGCAGACGTGTGAAAATTTGTAGCATGAGGGGGAACGATTAGGGGGATAGTGCAGGTGAAGAAGTATTAATCTGGGCGCATGGCACGTGTCTTAGTTGGAGTAAGCGATACGGAAAGAAACGATAAATAGGGAAATGTCAGCGAATATGGCGTGGAACTGTCAGAGGAGAAGCACACCGGGATGTCTTATGGAAAGTCAAACCTAATCAAACTTCAACAGCCCTACGACCTGGTTTCTTTCGCATTCATGATCCCTCTGTCCGTTGACCCGTAGCGAAGACCCGTGGTAGATGGCGCGGGGCGTTGAGAAAGGAGTGGGACTTGCCTTCCGAACGGCCAGCATGGACAATGCCTTTGAGCATGTACCAGAGTGAGGAAGAGAGGAGGATATCAACAGCGCTTCAGAACGCCTAGAGGACAGGTAGCGAGAAGCATTTTGGTTCCACGGGATCGAATACTGACCATGAAAAAAACAAGAAACAGCCCCATTTACCATCCTGAGTTTGCTCCGATGAACTTGCGGATGAGCGCCGATAGGGAGGGCTACATAGTCACTCGAAAAACATGCGAACGGCCTTGCACGGGGCTTTGCTCGCCCGAATATACGTAAACAATGGCTGCAGCTGCATGGACATGCTCGGAGGAAGCAGAATGACATCCAAGGAACACGTTGTACCCTGATGATCAGCCTAGGGCGGGCCCAAAGAGGACGCTGTTCCCATTTTCGGTAAGATCAATGGCATGTGAAATTGATTGAGTAGGACTTTCTAAACAGCAAAATTCAATACAAAATTGAGAGCTGGGAAGAAGCTTACGAGGAGCCATAGAGAAAACCTTGAGGTGGTTGACTGTTTTTCATGGAACAGTGAAGAAGCAACGAAAAGGCATGAGACGAATAGCGTGAATGCATGGGGAAAACACAGCAAAGAAGAAGAAACCTCATGTTTGAGAGGTACAACGAACAGGGAGTTCGGGCGACACAGAGAATAGGGATGAACCTACAGAAAGGGGTGATTAGAAGAGTACTTTACAATAGCTTGTATAGAATGTAACGTTCCATTTCCCGAAGAGCAGGAGGGCTTGGCTGCAATGCGTACTTCTTTTGAAGATAGGCGTAGGACGCGTTTCTCATGGGACATGAGCAGTTGAAACAACTGTGGTCCTTCTCATGCTGGATAAAGAGTAGTTACAGTTGTATATGACTCCCCCGCACGAATTTCTTCTATCCGTATGACCCATTTTCCGATACTCCCGAGCTCTCCCGGCGAGGGGGTGAGGAGGCATTTCCGATCAAGTATCTAGTAGATTTCCGGGCCATCACCTATTAGGTTGTCCGGAAAGTTCTCAGCGTTTTGAGTGTTTCACTTTAACGATCATAACTTTCTTAATACTCATCGGATTTAATCGAAATAAGCACCGTTCGAATCAGCACACTTTTGCCAATGTGACACCAGTCGAGAAATCCCATCAAAAAAACTGGGTGGTCGAGAATCCACGAAATCCACGAAGGCTTTTTTGCCTGGTCCTGATTGATGAAGTATTTTCCAGCAAGGAAGTTCTGAAAATGTTTGAAAAGGTGATAGTCGGTTGGTGAAAGGTCTGGAGAATATGGCGGGTGAGGTAGAACAACCCCCAATTCGTTCAATTTATGGATAGTGATTTGTGAAACGTGTGGGCGGGCGTTGTCATGCAAAGGAATCGGACCTCCTTTTCTTTTGAGAATTGTGCGGCTGCATCTGACGTCAATTTTCGGTACAATTTCGCTCGATTTCTTCAACAAAGAGGACCTTTGCTGTGACATGGTTAGCCTGGGTGACAAAAATTATAGTGGGATACATACCAGGGCCGGATGACCTCCACACGAATGTGACCATAATTTTTTCGTGAGGAATGGCTTTGGGATTGCCTCGCCGTTGCTTCGCGACATCCAACCACTGTTCGGAACGTCTACCTTATAATATCAGTTGATCACTTTCATCACAGCGTGACACATTCAGCACACGAAAACGGGTCGTTCTGTTGCGCAAAAGCAGTGAAGAAGAAACCTCGAGACGTGCCAATTTCTGCCGGTCACTCAAATTGTGGGGCACCCACTTGTCGAGTTTTTTCACCTTCCCAATGCGTTTCAGACCATCCGCAACAGTGGATTTGCCAACGCCTAGCTTTTCTGCAATCTCTCGAACTGTTTGGGAGTGATTCAACTCGCCATGTACTGCTATTATGTCGACTGCTATGGTTCATACTTCAAGGCCTGAAATTATTAAGAACGAAATTTGTATTCGACCATTGTTGACGGTTCATTTCTCGATGGGCCCCACACCAGCGTTGTATTTGTCGATAGCTGATCTTGAACTGATATGACCAATTTGCTGTAGTCGAAGAAAAAAAATATCGTATCTTAAGTTGCTCTTTTGACAAACCCCCCCCCCACCCCCCCCCCCCACCCCCCCTGCTTCACAAATTCTTGCGAACAAAGGGGGTTATCAAGCAATGGGAACTCAACATATTACATCATCAAGAGCAATAATTAGATGAGTACAAAGAATAGTAAACAAAATTGCTTGAGAACTTCCGGAACAAAACCTATAAAAAAGGTGCAGTAGCATATAACGCGCGATAGAAGGGCAGAATTAGCTATCAGAAATTGCATCCTTCCATTGCAGAATACGACCCCTCTCTCTGGCAGCCAAATACGACAACAATTGTGTCAATCACAACTTATGTTAAGCCATGATCCCAACAGAAGCGCAACCGCTGCCACGTTCTAATAAAGTATGCAGCCAGACCGTTCCCATCTCAGGGATATGGGGTTTGAATAAATGCACCTCAAAGGTGCTTCGATGTGTTTTCTTGGCTCCTGTGAGCGATGTCGTTCAGCTCTTCTAACATCCTGCAATCTAATAGAATTAGCAGGCAAAGTACTGAAAGCAGAGCAAAATTCTCTTACTGACCTCTTCATAGCGATGGATCACTGTACTATACAACTGCGCCAAAATGGATCTAGCCAAATTGCGGCTCTCCCATAGCTCGAAATCCATCGCACAGTTTGGAGCGTATTCCGTGGCAAATGTAGAACGGTGAGAATGCCGTTGGAGTTTGTTGGTGGTGTCGCAGTGGGATGTTTGCATCACTGAGCGCCATTCAACCGTTTAATACCCTGACCCCCCCCCTTCCGCAGGTGGCGCATGTCTAGTTAAAATGACTTTGAACGGCTGTCCCATTGAATGTGAGCGTTTTTAGAATCTCAAACCCTTCGCTGAAAAATGTTTTAGCTATGTGTTTGACTGGTAACTGAAAAGGTTTCCGGTAACACTGCTCGAATACCTGTGACGTTAGTCTCGAGCAATTCGGGCAAAACTGTCTTCTTCTTAGCCTATAGGGAGGTAAATCGAACAGCACCTGACCTGTCGTCAAGCCTGCCCATACTGGTTATTTATATGTAATTTATCCAAGAACATCAAGGAAATAATGAAAAAGACGAAGAACATAAGTGCTTCGTGCTCACTTCTTCGACTCCGCAGTATTTCTTCCCTAACCGGACGCCGCGGCCTAGTCTCTGAGCAGACAGAATGTTGTCCAGCTAGGGAAAGGAAAAGGGCTCTTCCCTACATGCAAATTAA